TGTCGCCTCAGAGAGGGATATGGGTGTCGAGGGAGAGGAGGGAGGCGAGTCGCTGAAAAAAATTGGAGAACGTTGGAGAACAAAATGTGTTTGAGCCATGCGTAGGACGTTTAACTACGTTTCGAGGGATGGTGTTGGACATGCCCTTGCCATAGACCACTGGAACAGTGGATGCAAAAATCATATTCTAATTCCGAGCTCAAATGCACCCTGACGAACAGTAAATTTTTTAGTAAAAGACAAATTCTATTTTTTTTAGTAAACTTTGATAAATATTTTCTATGCTTAACAAATTTTAGCACCAAATAACATTCATGGTAGTCGTGGCAAAATAAACCAGTACTCCAAAATATTTCAGGAACTAGCATTTTTTTAGCATCAATTTTTTTTCATGACTTCCATGATGTCATTTCGTGCTGAAATTTTGCAAGAATGCAAAACATTCATCAAAGTTTACCATAAAAGAATACATTTTTTAAAATAAATTACTATTTTTTCAACTATACTGTTCACTAGGGTATACATTGGAGCCCGGAGATACTCCACTTCCCACAACAATCGTTTCTTTCTTTGTGCTGTCAAACAAAAAAGGCGTCAGCTCATAGCTAGGAGGAGACTCGCTCCTAGTCCCCACCGCCAGCTCGTAGTCCTTTTTCTTCCATCAAAGAAGCGGGGGAATAAAGGGGGACAAGGGAAGACACCAGCGGAATTTTCCTTTTTCCTCCCCGAAGCGCAGCTCCACGGGCGGCTTCGCGATGGCCGCCGCCGACTACGACCGCGCGTACCGCCCCTACGCGCCCTCCTCCGCCGCCGACTACGACCGCCCCTACCGCAACGAGATCGTGCCCTACGGCGACCGCCGCATCGACCTCGTCGTCAAGCCGCCGCCGCCCACCAGGTCCCCGCCGCCGCCGTTGCCGGTCACCAAGAGCGGAGGCGGAGGCGGGATAGGCTCCGCCTGGTGCTTCAGCGACCCGGAGGTGAAGAGGCGGCGTCGGGTGGCGAGCTACAAGGCGTACTCGGTGGAGGGAAAAGTCAAGGCCTCCTTCCGCCGGGGCTTCCGCTGGATCAAGGACAAGTGCACGGGCTTCATCCATGGCTGGTAAGGATCACCTCCATTCCTTCACTTGGCTGCTCCCACCTTCGGTCTTCTCCCTTGGTTCCCCGCTCCCTTCTAATTTCACCATCCTGAATCGGCCGTGGCTACCCGATCATGGAAGACCCCTCCTTCCACTGTGGAAACGGGTTTCATCCGAGAAATCGCAAATCCGTTAGCCTTCTATAAACACTACTAGAAGGGATTTCATTTCTCGCATAAAATTTCTGTCGTTTTTCCCGGTTCCTACGTGTTGGTATAACTGCAATCCTGTTTCATCCTCCATTATGCAAGCTTATTTAAGGAAATAGTACTACATATGACATGACAGATCTCCAACGAGTACCAAATTGATCACAACTTTTATTTCCATGAGTGCTCCCCTTTCCAAGTAGTAGTACTGTAACATATCACTAGTACCACCATTTGGTCCTGATATTTCAACCTCACCTCTAATCTATCCCTTATTAATTCTCTCTTCCAGAATCCGTGGTCTTGGGTGAGTTCTATTGGGATCGAAGAAGACGCTGCAACAATGTGCGAGTAACGGATGCTGTTGCCTTTGCTAATTTTGTCCATGAGGTTGTGATGGTAACTTTTGGGTCAGGTTTATAGGAAACAAAAAAGAATTAAGAGCTTCCTCATGAGATTGCGTTGATTGCAGATGCTGTTCTTACTGTCTGCTAATTAGCTAGTTGTTTCAAGAATGTCTCAACAGGAGTTGAATCTTTGGAAAGGAACTGGTGAATTTTCATGATATCTCTATGTCTCTCCTTAAGCCACGCCATTCTGCATGTGGATTTTGATGTTTTGAGATTTTTTTGGGTTCTTTTATACCACTTTCAGTATGACGGAGACATGGTTAACTGAATCATGAGAGGAAAATGGGTCATCCCCAAATTGGCGTATCAGAAACCTGTTCCCTCAATTTGCTGTGCCGTTGCCGCCAACTGTTTTCGATTTGCCAAGACAAGACTTTGTTGTCCCACGTATGAAACAAGCTGTCCACTGCTCTCAATTGATAATTTCCTCTTAAGTTAGCAAAAAAGAGTCGTTTTCCTCCATGAGCGTAACCTAACCTGTGTAATTATGTTGAGTGACAAATTTGAGAGCATGCAACTTCTCCATTTGGGTGGATGAAGTGCGCACGTGAAAGATTCCTGCTGCTGCATCAGGCAATGGTCGATGCGATGCGACTAGCTCACACTCACGTGAGTTGGTGCGCAGAAAGAGACGATGCGCCTGGGCTAGGCGTCAACCGTGAAGCCGCGTTGCGTAGCATCTGGAATGAGTTGTCCTCTCGCCTGGAGCTGGTGGCAAAGATGCCTTTCTCGGGAAATTACTACCTGACGGAGATGGATCGAGCTGTGCAGTTTTGCCACCCTGACGGTGACGGGTACCGCAACAGCCAGATGCATGTGACACACCTCCTTGCAGAACCACAATTCGTTCAATATCACTTAACGACATAGGCATTTAATTTTCAACACAATACAAATGGGATGCAAGTACCTCAATAATTATTCCGATTTTTGGTTTGATGGGGTCCCCTTCAAAAGGAGACACCCTTCAAAAATTACTGTATGCTGCTTATTGTGGCATGCACAAGATACATCCATTTCGCTGACAAGTATTTTCAGACGGAGGGAGTAAAAGGTTTCGCTTTGTGCTCACCACGCAGCTGCGTGCTTTACTTCACTGCACCTCGCTCTCTTATATAGCCAGCTACCCGTTTGTTCTCGCTCCCGCTGGCGAGGTGGTACTATTGTCCCGGGTTAAGTTCTCAAACAACCTACCGGCAGCACCACAAGTCCACAACCCACAAAGGTTCAGCCCAGGGCTACTACCACTGCCACGGGCCGCTTACAGACTTGAGTTTAGGCCCATCCTTTTGACCTCACCCCTCGCCTCTCCACGCCACGCACAGTGACAGACACACCGGAGTGAGTCGAGTGACTGACTGGGAGGGAAAGCGGACGAGCGACCAAGGCGGGTCGACGGCGGCCTGAGGCCCGCGCGTGCCCCCTCCATTGCCCCCCGTCAAGGTACTGCGTCGCTATCCCTAACCATAACCCTATCTCCTGCCGCCCCCCAAAGCCGAATTAGCCGGCGACCTCGACCGTTGTAAATCGCCAATGCATTCTAACCGCAAATCGAACATGTGCTGGTCTGTGAGTGCTTACGGCCGGCATGAACCATGGGTTGCATCGGCCACTGAAGGCGCTGCTGCGTGGCGTTCTTCTCATGGGCAACATCGGTATGCTGCACTTGGAGTTTATGGGCATAAAGTGTTCGAGGAAATGCCCTGCTCAAATTCCAAGCGTTCTATGTACAGTACTTTTAGTAACCTGGAAGCAGCTGGTTCTGGGGCTTCTTCTCGTGGATTTCCATGCTATGGTGCTGTTATTTCGTTATTTGCTAGGTGTTCTTCTGGTATGGTGATGGTAAAGCGGCAATTGGCTCGGTAGGGCTTGGCAAGGGTAAATACTAAAGAAGATCTAACGGTAATCAAAGAAGGGGGACTATCTTTGAGCTGTGGCTCGATTCGTTGTCTGGCCCGACCAGCACTGCTCCACTCCTTCGACTATTCCTAATTTTGCTGTTACTATAACACAGCGTCGTCCTCCTTGAGCCATTCCAATTCATCCATTCATATGTGGATCCATTAGGTTCTTCCCAAACATTGGTTCTTCCACAGCATACAAGATCGACCTCAGTTGAGACATAAGAGTTGCTGTCCTGGTGCAAGCACATCTTATTTTCTGTAAAGTCAATGGTTCAACTGTATTCCTATGTCTCATGTTAAGCCCGCCCCTGCATATTGTGAGGAAATGTGTTGACCACATCGCTGTGTGGATACTAGTAGTTGGGACTTTTGAGCCATTCGAATGGTGTACTGTGTTATTGACTTGTATCTACCTATCTATCACTCTATCTTTACCTGCAAGCTGCAACTTCAGCCTTAAAACTGAAGACAGGAAAGCTAATACTACATGTGTTCTTTTAGACCATTTAATTTAGCGAACTTCTCTTCTCCTTTCTGCCTTATTCCTTCTTGATTGCTATCTGATAAACTGCAATTTGTACAATGTTCTCATGACTCATGCATTGCATCTACTGCTGTATTCCAGGTAACAGCCATGAAGGTCAAAATTCTTCAGTGGCATGCGGTGGCTTCTTGGACATGGGACGCACAGGATGAGACATGTGGCATATGCAGGATGGCTTTTGACGGCTGCTGCCCTGATTGTAAGTTCCCTGGTGATGATTGCCCAATCATTTGGGGTGCCTGCAACCATGCTTTCCATCTTCACTGCATACTCAAGTGGGTCAATTCTCAAACATCAACCCCCCTTTGCCCCATGTGCCGTAGGGAGTGGCAATTCAAGGGCTAAGGACATCTCAAACTATGTCAGTACCAGAAGTTTTCATATCTCCTCGTAGGAAACTAGAATGAATGTGTAACTGGAATGTAGTTGGGTTATCTTGTAAGTGCCCTTTCATACTTTCTGGAAATCAGGATGGTCGGTATCTTTTAAGTAAAGCTGTGAGACCTTTGAGCCACAGCTATTGTGTCTTTGCAAGTTGTGATCATACAAATCCAATGACTGACTTTGAAAAGTCAGCAGCCTGAGATTGTGACATTTTTTCTTGTTCAGCTTTTTACCTACAGATGGCCTCCCATGTAGTAATTTGATTCTGATTGGATAGTATATACTGTAGATATAACAACTAGCTTGTTCTGCTAGACTTACATTCATTTTAACAATGACACATATATCAGCAGGTTTTAAGTTCTTGACATGATTTGATGAGCATTTACTAGGCTATAAATTGAAATGTATCGCATCTGAGCAAGTTACACCGGGTCAGATTTTATCTTGTGCCAATTATGCCAGTAGATATCATCAAGACTTGGATTTTATCATGTAAAGTCAAGCATGTTTTAGACGAACAAGTAAAGAGTTACTGGATTAGGCTTAGTTCATGATATCTGTTTTACTATACTCAGATCGTTTGAATAAAGCATTAGGAACATTGTAAAATACAATGTGATTGAGTAGCAACCTGCCAGTAGTATATCTAGCATCTACTCCCTCTGTTCCTAAATATAAGTCCTTTTAGAGATTCTAATATGGACTACATACAGAGCAAAATGAGTGAATCTACACTCTAAACTACGTCTATCTACATCCGTATGTAGTCCATATTGAAATCTCTAGAAAGACTTATATTTAGGAACGGAGGGAGTAAGACAAAATGGGCATGAGTAGCAACCTGCCAGTAGTATATCTAGCATCTACTCCCTCTGTTCCTAAATATAAGTCCTTTTAGAGATTCTAATATGGACTACATACAGAGCAAAATGAGTGAATCTACACTCTAAACTACGTCTATCTACATCCGTATGTAGTCCATATTGAAATCTCTAGAAAGACTTATATTTAGGAACGGAGGGAGTAAGACAAAATGGGCATGAGTAGCAACCTGCCAGTAGTATATCTAGCATCTACTCCCTCTGTTCCTAAATATAAGTCCTTTTAGAGATTCTAATATGGACTACATACAGAGCAAAATGAGTGAATCTACACTCTAAACTACGTCTATCTACATCCGTATGTAGTCCATATTGAAATCTCTAGAAAGACTTATATTTAGGAACAGAGGGAGTAAGACAAAATGGGCATGTTGGTGCACCATCTGTTTTGTGCATATGATTCGAGTTCAGAACTTTGAGGTATTCTAAAAGCCTCTTCTTTAGATATCTGTATGTCTTGCCTGGATAAATGGTGGACTTGAACATTGGAGCCTGTAGTGATATCCATATTACAGGCATTTGACCTTCAGTTGCTAGTTTGTATGTGTGATACTTTAGTGACATAGAGGTTGTGGCAATATTCTCAACATCTGTGAAATTGAATCAGTCATGTCACTAGTTTGATTACTTATTCTTAAAGGCAGGTGGTGTTTATTTTAATGAACATCTTTAACATGTATAGAAATTATCGTTCTGTTCCTCGCTTTAGAATAAATTAAACAATCAGAATCGCTACTGATCAATTGTAATGAAAATATTATTTGCCCATCTTGACTAGCAGTATGCAGACTTATTTAGCAAGACATACTCTGGTCCCTACTTATATGCGAGATGTCATAATATGTATATGAATTGTCTAATCTAAGGATCGGTTTCAAGTCTGCCACTTTCCTTGCTACTCTACAAGGGCACTATACTTCTTGAAAGGCACTCCCTCTGTAAACCAATATAGGATTGTTTAGATCACTAAAGTAGTGATCTAAAAGATCTTATATTAGTTGACTGAGGGAGTATATCAGAGAGTAATGTGATCACAGAAGAAAACGCAAATGGTTGTCATAAATAAAATAATCAATTAAAGCAAAAGAAGCAAATTTGATGTTTAGAATGCAATTATGGTAAATAATATTTTGGTTATTAGTGGTTAGAAATGCCTATTGTCTTTGTTTTCTAGCTTTAATCTGGACAATTAAATCAAAAGAAGCAAATGGACTTTATTGATAACTTCTACTCCCTCCGTCCAATAATATAAGATATTTTTACAACCAATGTACTCAGTTTGGAGACGTTTCTACAGTTATATTTATGTGTGTCATAAGCTGGTTCCTTTAGAAAATTTGGGGGGTTTTAAAATTACATAAATGGTCCACATTCTATGTATGTTACTCTTTGGGCATCCTGTCTTCTGAGTTAGGGAAAAACTTAGTCAACAAGCACCAGTACCTTCGGCATTTTTATTCACAACAACTGTGAGCATCATGGGGAGACCCAGGTGCGCATGGTGAGCATCCAGACATTTTGGAGAGATCTGTTCTCTGTATTTGATGAGTAATACTAGCTTGCAAGATGCTCTTGGAATTTCCTGCCCATCCGTTCTCTTGTTAAGCAAACTAAACGAGTAATAACGAAAACAAAGGGTCTTATAACAAAGAACAAAAAGAAGTTGAAAAATACCAACAGCGTCTTGCCTTTTAGTAATTGAGTTATTACTTTTGTATTCCCTCCGATCCATGAGTAATACTCCCTCCGTTCCTAAATATAAGTCTTTCTAGAGATTTCAATATGGACTACATACGGAGCAAAATGAGTGAATCTACACTCTAAACTATGTCTATATACATCCGTATGTAGCTCATATTGAAATCTCTAGAAAGACTTATATTTAGGAACGGAGGGAGTACTATATAACTAAAATTATTATTTCAAGCATGCCTTCTTTGCCGTTAATTGGGAAGATCCAGACTGGGTCTTGATTTTCCAGAGGTCCTTGTGTCTGATCTGCTTCGTCCATCTAGGCCTTGCTGTGCTGTCCAATTCTTTTTGGCAGGTGGGCAATCTAGCCCTGCTATTTCGTGGCCGCTGCCTCTTCATTCTGAATGAATCATTCGTGGTAAGCAGGTAATGCTTTGTCGGGCTAATGGCATGGCATCACACCCTTCAGTGCCGAACGGAAAGGCGATATTATAATCTCCTCAGGTGAGGATGACAGCAGTGATCTTAAGTATCGCGGTCACCGTTAGATCGTTTTGTTCAGTTTGCATATCTCCCATGCTGCATGATTCCAAAAAAATCAGGTGAACTGTCTTGTTCAGCGGAGCCTTAGCACAAAAGCAACCAGGAATTCTTGAGGCTGCAGCTATATGACAACAGAGCTGTAGGTGTTTGTGGTGAGCAGTTTGGTAGTACTTGCGTGGTGGCGTGACAGGCTTGGGTTTTCCAGCGTGTGACCGCTGTGTCTAGTTGTCAGCCAGGATTTGTGGGAATGCCATGTAACCCCATGAACCAGATTCGTATAAGTATAATTTGTTTGCTTTTGGTGTTTATATGTCTGGTGAAACTTCATGGGAAGCTTCGGCTAGTGCCCCTCTTTTAGCTTGGCTGCGCAGTGATTTTCAAGGCTAGCTGCGCAGTGATTTTCGGCTGTTTTATACTGGCTGAGGAAATTTGTATTCGCCACCTTTATATGCAATACTCAAGACAGAAACAGAATCTTAGACCGGGGGTTCAGAAAACATCACGGTAAATTTTCCGGCTTCAGTTCTTCAGGCTGTTCTGCGTTGGGCTGGTGTACATTCCTGTGCTTCGACGCAGCGTGGAGACCGCGTATACGATTTCACTTGTGCGGGATGACACTGTGGAGGTCTTGGCCTGGCATGTACCCCTGTGAGGTGGACGTGGACACCTGGCCACTCCCATGATGTAAACTATTCTGAAGCTGCTACTACCGCGGGGATTACGCTGGTTGTTGGGTTTCAGGTCTTGATGGTCCACACTGCCACGCGGTTTACATCTTGATTAAGCAAAGCCATGTTCCCCGCTGACGAGCAGCTAGAGTTAACTCCATGGCATAGGGGACGTGAAATAGGGAAACGCGTAGCCGTGGCTATAATTTTATAAGAGTGATTCGTTAAGAAGGAATGATGCGCCATTTGAGAAGCGTTCGTAGAGGAACAAGCAATGCAATTCTTTTTGTGACGCCATACCACGTGATCTTCAGCTCCACGACTCACAAGTGACTGGATGAAAACAGAACGCGCAGAGCTGCTTGTGCCGGCAAAAAACTACAGTTGAGGCCACGTACTACAAACGCAGCCAGTGGGGCTAATTACGCGGTAGTGCCAAGGAGATCACAAAGGGAGTTTCAGTCTCGATTCTTCACACCATGTTCCTGTGCATTGCCACTTGATGAAGGCAAAACAAAACGCCCCTGTCATGTTTACGCAAAAAAGAAAAGAAAAAACGCCCCTGTCATGGATGAAAACCAGGAAATGGGAACCCACGGGACAGAGAGTGGAAACGGCCCCACGTTCGGAGGCGCGACGCAATCGCGTCCTAGCCGCCGTCCGTCAGCCCGATGAGGCGCCGCACTATGTGGCGCCCCTCCTGGCGGCCGGGCCCCACACGCCTGACCTCAATCATCCACTGCTGCCCCAGCTTATGCCAACTGCCAAGCAAGACGCGACGCAAGTAACAGACGCGCTCGCTTCCCTTCGCTCCCGCCGCGCTCCCGCTCCCGCTCCCGGCTCACCACACAAGCAAAGCATCCCACCCGTCCCTATTTATGCAGCGATCCCCGCCACACTCATCCATCACCAACTTTCTCAACCGAACAAACCTCCATACCAAAAGCAAAAGAGCGGAGCAGCTACACAGGCCTCGCGATCCTTTTGCTGAATCCACGCAGATAAACACAATGGCGGCGCCGGCGATGTTTCCTAAGGCGACGAGGAAGGCCTCCGTGGGCGGCCGGGCGTGGCGGCTGCTGCGGCTGGCGGTGCTCTGGGCGCGGAAGGGGAGCGCGGCGCAGAGCCTCCGCCTGCTCAAGACGCTGCGGCACAGCCGCGTCGGCGGCCTCGG